TCTAATGAAACTTTTATACTTTTTCATAATGATTATTGAATTAATAACATCATGTTAAAAATTTCAATACAATTCACAATACTGATTTACAGAAATCTGACTTGAAAGTTAAAACATTTTCTTACTTTTTTTTCTGAGTTTTGAATTCATAACATAAGATCAACCCATTATCAACATTACTTGTCTGGTTTACGCTTGCAATTTCTATCCAACTTTGACATGGCGCATTATAAATTAACTTACTTGTGTGCTGAATTCTAACATGCGTGTTATTTTTTTATTTTACAGGTTGTTATTGTTATTGAATTAATATTGAAATGACATTAAACAAAAATTGAACCCATGAAATATTCAAGTAATAAACTATAAACTAAACTATAAAACGGCATCATCCAGTTTAAGATCCGCTTCATAGCACTGGCTTATTGGAAAGCTAGTTTTCAGTTTTTTGTTTTTTTCAGTTTTCATTTCTCAGTTATCTATAGCAAGATTACCGAGTATGCTGAATGTACTTAAACTGCTCCAGTTTCATCATTTAGGTGAAGGGCAAACCCTTCCTTAAAGTTATAAAATTTATTATGATGCAGTTATTTGTATTTGAATGCATACCAGGATACTAATACAGCGGATTGACTCATGTGTCAGAAAACTGTCAAAGCTGCATCAAAACTATCTGGCTTTAAAGGTACACAGAACACAATAATACCAAAGCGACAGGATGAAAGCAAAAATTATTTTATTCTCAAAATATCAAAAAATCTAAAAAAAAAATTTTTTCGTGTAAGTTATGTTCTGAGCAGTTATTTGACCTCTTTTGATTAACCCTCTTGACTCTTTGCTTTGCTCAACTCTCCTATATTTTTGCTTTGTTCAACCCTACTGTCTCTTTGCTTTGGTATTTTTCAAAGTTATTTTTACATCAATTTGTGTCCCCTCTTGCACCTAAGTAATTTACAATGCTAGTGAACAGGAATAACTCATTCTAGCATTTTAGGAACATTTTTTTAAGCTTTTGCTTCCTCAGATAGATCGAGTCCAACTATGTTTACAATACGTTTTTGGAACTTGTCTAGAAGAGAAAACATAATTAAAAGAACCAGCCCAAATATGACAACAGTATTCCATACAAGGAATAATAGATTTGTAAAGATAGAGAATGGAATCAGGAGTAAGAAAATGGCAAGCACAGTAAAGAGAAGCAACCTTAGTGGATGCTAATTTAGAAATCGATTGTATATATTGTTTCTATAAAAGGTCAGTAGTAAATAGTAATCCAAGAAGGCGTAAAAAAGAGAACTCAGTGAGCGTTTCCATTCATTATTATAGGAATGTCAAAAGTATTGGGATAGCTGTTTGCAGTAAGTAACTGAGTTTTGCTGGAGTTAAAATTTACAAGCCACTGCAAGCCCCAATCTGTTACAGAAGTGAGATCAGATTTAAGATTAAATGCCTGTTCTAAGTAATCGAAAAGAGAAGACTTTTTGTCGAGACAGGAGTTAAAGTTGAGTCATCAGCAAAATGAGCTACTTTAAATGTAAGGTTGTTGGGAAGATCATTAATGTAGATAGGAAACAAAAAAAGACCAAGGATAGAACCTTGAGGTACCCAGAAGTTACTAGAAATGAAGAAGAGTGTTGGCCTTCAAGGATGAATTTAAGAAAGCAATAAGAAAGAAATGATTTGATAAGCTCAAAAACTTTCTCAGATACACCATATGAGGACGAAAGTAAAATAACAAATATTCTGGGTTTACATTTTCATTCTGTGTTCAACCGAGAAAATATCCATGTTGTGTTACCATATTTTAAACTAAGATCATCTATAACCTGTATAATGAAGACTTCTCTCCTATAATAATAGCAAAACACTTATAAAAGTTAAACGAAAATAAATCGATTGGACATGATAAAATTCATCCATTAATCTTAAAGAAATGTAATGTAGCTCTGCCATATTCACTATCTTTAACTTTCGCAAAAAGTTACAGTGATGCAATAGTTCCTGAAGAATGGAAACTATTGAATGTAACACCAATTTTTAAAGGAGGTAGTAAATCAGATCCATCAAATTATCAGCCAATATCTATTACGCCAGTTGTTTGTAGAACTTTTGAAAGAATAATTTGAGATCAAATTATATATCATCTACTACAAAATCTAGTCAATAAAAATCAACATGGTTTTATACAAACAATTGATGAAATAATGAACTATCTAAACAATAAGGCTTCAGTAGATGTTATATATTTTGACTTAGCAAAAGCCTTTGATAAAGTTTCACACCTAAAATTAATGCACAAGATAAAAAATTATGGCTTTTCAAAAAAATTAGTTAAATGGCTTCATAGTTTCTTATCTAGAGTTGAGAGAGGTTTTAAGCAGTGTCCCTCAAGGTTCAGTTTTAGGACCTATTCTATTTGTTATATATATATATATATATATATATATATATATATATATATATATATATATATATATATATATATATATATATATATATATATATATATATATATATATATATATATATATATATATATATATATATATATATATATATATTAATGACTTACAAGACACACTAAAATTTCCATAAAAACTATATGCCAATGATAGTAAATTAATTGCTTCAATAAACAACAAATCAGAAAGATCAAAGCTTTAAGATGATATTATATCTATGCAACAATGGGTAGACCTATGGTATATGTGTTTCAATAAAAAAAAATGTAAAGTTATACACTTTGGAGTAAAAAACAAAAAATTCAAATATTTCATAATAAATATGACTAATAATAATGAACATATAATACTACAAGAAACAGAAATAGAAAAAGATCTGGGTATTATTATTACAAATAAACTAAAATCGCACAATCAAGTTATAAAAGCAGCAAATAATGCAAACCAAATTTTGGGAATGGTTAATAAAGCTTTTAGAAATTTGGATGTCTGCACTATGAAAGTATTATATACATCACTACATTTAGAATATCTCAGTTTGGAATCCTAACCAACAACAAGATATAGATCATTTGAAAAAAGTTCAAAAAAGAGCAACAAAAATCCATCTTTAAAAAAAATAAAATATGAAAACAGACTTAAAGTTTTTAACTTGGAATCATTAGAGAAAAGAAGAATTCGTGGAGACCTTATACAAATATATAGAATAGTATATGGTTACGATCAAGTTTCATTACAAAAACCAATAAATTTTATAATCAACAGAGTATTAAAAGAAAAAAAAGCAGAAATCAAAACTACAGATTCTCAAGAGAATACACTCCAAAATGTAACGCAAGACATAACTTTTTCCTAAATTGAGTTTTTAACAATTGGAACAATTTAGATCATGAAACTGTTAATGTGAAGACGATAAACTCTTTTAAAAACAATATTAATAAAAAATAAAAGTAAATTTCAACTGTTATAATACTTTATCTCTTATGTGATTACTTTCCGTGTAGTTTTTACATTACGATTTCTATATAATAATAATAATTCAATTTTTTAATTAATAAAAAGCAGAAGATTTTTCAGAAAATGATAATGAAACTGATGTTGCTGATAAAGAGATATAAAGATATGATAAAGAATTTGTTATCACACTTTTGTTATCAAGTAGTAATAAACTAATTGTTGTAAAAAAACTACTTTTTCATTAATTTTAACAAACAAATAATTTATGAACTTGTAAGACATCTGATAAACAATTTAACACAATTACAGATTTACTTATGTAAATGGTGCAGAGAGTGGTGTAGCTCTGTAGGTTTACTTATGGTACAGAGAGTGGTGTAGCTCTGTAGATTTACTTATAGTGCAGAGAGTGGTGTAGCTATGTAGATTTACTTATGGTGCAGAGAGTGGTGTAACTATGTAGAGATTGATATAGCTTTGGTTTAAAATTTTAACAACAGCGTCACTAAAAATTCAGAACAGAAGCAATATTTATTACAAGTCATTGAGAAGCATCAAAAAGATTTATCAAAGTACAATGGTAGTATAGTACAATGGTAAGCAACTTTTCAAGATGTTAAATTAAAACATTAATTGTAGATAGCAGATACTAAATAGTCATTATAATCTCTGGAGTGTTACCATTAACTATATCTTACTTAGTTAAATGTTAAAACTATTATGCTGGAGTGTCAGTTTATAAAAATTTAAATATAATAAAAAATTAAATCAATAAACTTTTTATTTCAATTTAAATCCTGATTAACATCTTAAATCCTGATTAACATCTTAAATCCTGATTAACATCTTAAATCCTGATTAACATCTTAAATCCTGATTAACATCTTAAATCCTGATTAACATCTTAAATCCTGATTAACATCTTAAATCCTGATTAACATCTTAAATCCTGATTAACATCTTAAATCCTGATTAACATCTTAAATCCTGATTAACATCTTAAATCCTGATTAACATCTTAAATCCTGATTAACATCTTAAATCCTGATTAACATCTTAAATCCTGAATTATTCTAACAAGAAACAGAAACTTTATTTTACCTTATACAGAACAACTGACATCTTATATACAATGTTTAAGCTTTGCACTTTTTGGTGATTCCTAGTCAAATTTCCTCACTGACAGTTTGACTAAGAACCACCATAAAATTACGAGCCATAAAATTTTAAACCCTCTAAGGTTCTTATTAACATTGTTCAAATAAGCTAAAACTTTATATATATATATATATATAAAGTATATATATATATATATATATATATAAAACTTTATATATATATATATATATATATATATATATATATATATATATATATATATATATATATATATATATATATATTTATATATACACACACACATATATATACATAAATATATTATATATATATATAAATAAAAAAGGTCTTTTCATAAATTCTTTTCAGTTTCATTTTGTAAAATTAATCATTAAGCAAAAAAAAGTGTTAGCAGTTTAAATTAGTTTTATTTATATTAAACACAGTTGATAATTTTGAAACCTTGGATTCTTTCCTGTATTTCCCCATAAACAGATCTTAAAACTTTGGCTTTGATTCTCTGATGTAATATTAAGTGTTTCTGAATCAATAATATTAACAGGCTGCTCCAAAAGATTCTTTGTAACAGCATCTATCTTATTAATGATCAAACTGTGAAGTGCATCTTTCAACTGGTAAAAAAAAAAATAAAAAAAAAAAATTTTTATAATAAATCACAATAAATAATTTATTCTTAAATTATTTCTAATTGGAATTTAATTTATGAGGTAAAAATAAATATTTATCTTATAAATATATGTAAATAAAAACAAAAATTGTATATAATTGTCTATATATAAGCATGAAGTTCCAAGTTTGATCCCCACCAAGTCCCTGGTAGTACCGACTATGTTTACAACGGTTTTTGCAATTTGTCTAAAAGAGAAAGGACATCATTGGAAGATCCACCCAAGATATGGCAACAGTATTCTAGACAAGGAGGGATTTGAGATTTATAGTGATAAAAAATAGAATCCTGAGTAAGAAAGTGGCAAGCACAATAAAGAGATGCAATCTTAAAAAATGCTAGTTTTGCAATCAATTTGATATATAGTTTTTAAGAAAGATAGATGACTCATTGAAGGGCAGATGACTGATTGAGTACATTATTATTCATAAATATAGGAAGATCTAAATTATTGCAATAACAATTAGCTGAAAAAATTTATTAAGAGTTTTATCAGAGTTAAAATAAACCATTAGTCCCATGCTGTAGCAGAAGTGAGATCCTTTTCAAGCTCAAATGCCTTCTCCAGGCAATTAGAGATGTTGGCTTCTTATCAAGACAAGAACAAATGGTAGTATCATAAGCAAACAATGACACCTTAGATGTGAGAATTTCTAGGAGATTGTTGATGTAATTGAAAAAGAGTATAGGGCCAAGGATAGAACCTTAAGGAACCCCTGAAGTTACAGGATATCAAGAAGGGTGCTGTCCATTGAGGACAACTTTTGTACAACAATTGGTTAGGAAGGATTTAATAATCTTAAAGATGTTACAGTGCGTGTGATGAATGAAATCGCCTAGCGCGATACTTCCCTCTTGCAAAACTGAAAAACATTATTAACAAGCGCAATTTTGCATGCTCTGCATCAAGTCTTCGCGAGCAATATTCAGGGTTGGAAATTGGTTCCCATGGAGTCATCCATGAATTACGCATGCAGGTATGGGGAGGGGGGTCACCCAAAAGCGTACCAGTACGTACACAAGAAAAGGTGAACAAGTTTTTGTATAAATTTTTTTCATGTGAAGCCCGGAAAATCAGACAAAAAAGCTTTAGTTTTTTTGTTAATGCACTTATCCATTTACTAAAAGAAATATGTTACTGTGGCTTTGATATTAAATTAAAAAAAATGAAATACTGCATAGTTTTATTTATTTTATAGCCGTTCTCAAAAAATTTTAATTTATTTTAAATCAAGTTTTCACATTTTATTATTTTAAAAAGTATTCATCATAAGAATTAAATTTAAAAAAATTATTGATAGATTTTTATATAACTTATTACTAAAGTAAGTTATTAATAAAATTTTAGTAACTCTATAATTAAAAATGTTTAACACATGATTTTTTAAACTAAGTTTTTTTATCTCGCTTTCCAAATTCGCGAACAAATACCTTTGGAAAATAGAAAATATTCTAATCTATCTGTTAATAGTAACGACTTCATAACTTTCCATTTATTATTGGTACAAAACAGAAACCCCCTTCCCCCTTAGTGTCGGCGACTCTGATATACTTATACAAATATAATGTATAACTAGATTTTTATTTAAATCATATAATTGTTGAAATGCGTTTGTTACATCAGTAAAAACCAGGTCATGAAGACATGAAACTAGTAACATTAAATTTTGTCTTTCGTTGATTGTGAGCATGCTTGGCAAAGTTTCAATGAATATTACATATAACAAATAATTATAAACGGAAGAATTCCATTAACTTGGACTCTGAAGAGATTTATATTTTGTCCGACTTAAAGAATTAAGCAAAGTTCTCCATAAGTCAGACTTTTCAAAAATGTCTGACTTATGGAGGTTAGGAGACTTATAATTTTGAATTTTCTGTTTTAGTTATAATTTTTAGTTTCGTTTAGCTTCATCTTTTTAATAAATAAACTTTAATTTAAGCTCGACCAATTCAAAGGTATCAGTGAAAATATTTAGTTTGTTAAATTATATTTGACACAAAAGTATTTGACATTTGAACTTTTTGAATTTTTTTTTGATGTTTTTGAATTTTAATTGTAATAGTCATTAATAAATAGAATATGATTGAACCTGTACAAAATCGAAGCTATAAATGAAGATTTAGTTTATAAAATTATTATAAATAAATTGTTACAATAAATATTTAATTTTTAAGCAGTTTGAAATTTTTATTGAAGTGGTGCGAATTTGATATTTTATTGCATGGACTTTTATGCAATTCAAAGTAAAAGTCCTAGTTAAGTAAAGTTTTTTGTCAAATGGATCCAAAAAAACTGTAGTTAGCGAATAGTTTGAGTTAACAAGGGTACAATTAAAGGATAATATGATAAAGTTTAAAGGGAATTTTAAAAAAAAATTGTCATGCTGAATTAAACTTTAAAATAGAAGAAATAAATCATTGGCTCTCTCGTTTTGAAAATAGTAATAACAGATGCAGTTTTCCAGCAGACTGGAAAACAAGATTAGCATTTGTTAAAAAGTTTTGAAAGTATAGACAACAGCTCCAGAGAACACTTCTGCATAACTATAAATGATAAATTGTCCAGACCACAAGCTGTAGAAGAGTCTAAGCAGGAAATCACTTTAGATACAAAAACTGGAGTGATACAAATATCAAGCAATGGATAAACCTGTTTGTCGGCAGTACCAGGTAGGAAGTGATTAGTGGAATCAAGAGATTAGATTGATAAAAATTTCTTTGCAAATGATTCAGCTTTGTCTTTAGGTGAGGTAACAAAATCTGAACCACACAAGAGAGGTGGAATAACAGATTTGCACTTATTATAGATATTGGTAAAGATTCTCCAGAAGTCACAAAAGCCAAATTTTTAAGATGATGTATGAGATTTTGTGACCTGAGAATAGGGGGCTTTGGCATTAGACAAAATCTTTTTACAATGGTTCCTAGCAATGGTAAACAGACACCTGTTTTCTTTCACCTGTGAAGAATTGTTTTGCTGATAGATATGAAAGTAATGGTTACGATTGGAAACAATTGAACAATGGAGAAGAGTGAGGCATTTCTTGAAATAATCAAGAGAGAATAACCTAATGGCCACACTTTTTTTGAGTTATAAAATTAGAAGAATTCAGGAGATTTTTAAGAAATTTTAGGAGATATGACTGGTAGAGTTGAAAAAATGAATAAAAAAAATTAGAATTATTTACGAAAATTAAAGAAATCTTTTTAATGAAATTTAATTATTATTCAAAAATTTTGATAAAAAATTAGAAAGTTATAATAATAGTTTATATATAAGAAACAATAAATTGTTTAGCATTATAAAAATTATATATTTAATTATAATACTTAATATATCTACTCATATTAATAAATAATATACAAGCAATGTAATTTTATTTGTGTTATATTTATTTTACTTTACTTTATATATAACCAATAAAAGACAAGAACCAAAAAAAAACTTGCCAAAGCAAAGCTCTTCTGTCTGGAAGTATTTCACAAAATCATATGATTCAGCTAGTGAAGCAAAATGTACCCTGTGGAATTCTTTCATAAAATGCAAAGGTTCGAGCACATCTGGTCTGATTACCCACATAAGAACTATCCATAGTATAATATTAAAAAATAAGAAGTTAGATGAAACATCTGTTGCAGAAGTTCCAAAAAAACAAATAAAAGGAGATAGATTCTTTAAACGTGAAACCTTGGCTGAATTGCTAGGAAAATGTGCTGCAAAGAATGTCTTTAAGAACAAGTACGAAATCCGATGCAATATTTATTCAGAAACATGGTTTCCAAATGCCAAAAAGTCAAACTGCAGTAGCATAACTAATAATGTCGTTTTACAAGATACAAAAACAAGAGTTGTGCGATAAAATTTCTGTTTTGAAAAAATGTGGTAAAAAGTTCAGCATAACAGTTGATGAATGGACTGACAAAAATTTACATACCAGCAACGACCGAACATGTTCGAGTGACAAATCAAATGAAGAAGATGCCGATGAATATGATAATCTAAACATTTCCAAAGAACTTCTTTTTAATCTTACTTTGAAAGAAGATAATGATTTAGATTCTGGTGATAATGAAAATGATTACCTTGAGAAATTGAAATCCAGCGATATCTTTAATGATATCATATAAAAAACTGCTCATGGAAGCAGCAACAGAACATTTCAAGATGACATCAAGCCGGTATTGAATAATTCATGTAAACTGATAAAATTTTTTAAATTATCAAGCATTCGTAGTTTCATATTGCAAAAGCATGTTTTCAAAAAAGAAAAAGAAAAAAATGATGCTAAAACTTGACATTAAAACTTGAGTGAAACTCTTTTGTTCCTGTGATTGAAAGGTTGGTAAAATTGAAACCATACATTAAAAAAGCAGTTTTGGACATTGGACATTGGCTGTCGGAAGCTAAGTAAGGATAATTCAATTATTCTGACCAGTGATGGTGTTCACATGTTTTTGTTTAAAAATCTTTCTGCACAAACACCTAACTTAAGCGTAGTGATGCTAGATTCCCTCAAAAAACGATGAGCAACGCAACAAAGATTTAATGTCACTAATGAGATATTTGCAAAACCCTAATTCAAATACAGTCAATAATAGCCTTAAGACACAGTTATAACAATCCCTAATAAAAATGGTTTCTTTGTTTGGTTTTGGTTGATAGTTTTTTTTTCAAAGATGGAAGTGGAGTTCAAACATTGAATTTAAATAAGGTTGATGCTGCTCTCAAAACAATTCATTTCATATCAAAATCCAGTGAAAGACCTTATCCGGTTGCTGGTAACCTTTTAACTAAACTTTGAAGCCGAATGAATTTTGATATACTAAATGCATTAAGATTTTTAAAATACTATTTTTGGAAAGTTAAATTATTGAGTTATTACTGCTTGATAAATTTAATATTTCAAATAATAAATTTAATTTTTAGATAATAAAAAGTAAAATAAAATACAATAGAAAAAAAAAATGTCTAAATTTTCTTTTTATATTTTATTTTTTCTTTTCATAAAGTTTTCTAAGGATTTGGCTAAATTTTTAAAAAAATTTTTTATAAATACCGCACAATACTGGTTTATACTGGTATTGAACTATTTTGAATACCGATAACCGGTATTATAATTTAACGGCATTTTGGAAACTCTAGACACCATATAGCCTTTACTCAACCAAGAGCCTCAAAACAAGAGGTTTTTTAAGTTGGAGTTGGCTAAGAAAACCTAGCCTTTGCCTAAAAAAGCATATCCTATAAGGCAGCAGGAAATGAAACAAGTTGTACTGGGTTACATATTACCAGTAGTAGGATAAGCTGACCTGACAATATGTCACTTTATGTCTATTAAATCAAAAAAGAAAGCACTATGAATTTTATAAGGTTTTTATATATCTATTTGTGAAAAGTCTATTTAAGTTAATTAATTCATAAATAATTATAACTAATAAAGAAAAAACTTTTTGAATTAATTCACAAAAAATTACTTTATTAAAGATCAAAACTGCAAATTGTTATATTTCTAATGTTTATATATACCTCATTGTATTTATATCTCTAATGTTTATATATACCTCATTGTGTTTATATCTCTAATGTTTATATATACCTCATTGTATTTATATCTCTAATTTTTATATATACCTCATTGTATTTATATCTCTAATGTTTATATATACCTCATTGTATTTTTGTAAAGACATTAAACTAGCTTCTCCCATTTCTTCAACAATTGCATTTTCCAACATAATGTCTTCAGTACTTTTTCCACATTCTTTTGCTAACTGAGAGTTATATGCTCAATTTAAGAAACTTACTAAGCATAACAGCTTTACTGAATTTACACTCATTAATGAAAAATATTGCATTATTTAATAAGTTAGACAGTATCAGAATATTTTTTTATTGAAAAACTAATAAGCCATTTAATTTGTGAAGTTCTAAAGATTATAAAAATTTCTCACCTTAACAATCAAGTCACATTTTTCCAAGACATATTTAATATTTACCATATTTTCATCAGTGGAAAGTAAACTTATAAATGTATTCATTTCCTTGTAATTTGATATGTTTGGCCTTTCTTCACAGAGCATATATTTTTCCCACTGAATAAAATTTATAAAATTATACGTATAAAATTTAAACTGGTAAAATCATGTTTTTTTTTGTTTTTCATAAGAATTCTAGGATTTACCTTTTCCGCTTTTAATTTTGATTTCTTATATTGCATTAAAATATTATTGTTTTCTTCTAACAGTTGATTTAGTTCATTAATTTTGTCTTGATGAAGACCTCTTTCCTATTAAGTAAAAATATTAATAATAATCAATCATATATTATATTGTATTAAAAATAATTTAAAAAATAATTGTTTTATGTTTCAAAAATAAAAGTGGCAGTGAAGCATGTTGATACATATAAAAGTGTATGTTGATGCACTTAGAAGTGTATGTTGATGCATGTAGAACTGTATGCTGATGCATGTATTAGTGTATGTTGATGCATATAGAAGTGCATATTGATGAATGTAGAAATGTATGTTGATGGATGTAGAAGTGCATGTTGATGCATGTAGAAGTGTATGTTGATGCATGTAGAAGTGTATGTTGATGCGTGTAGTGTTAAAAATTTGAGGGCTAGTGACAATTGAATCTGAATCCATTCTTTCTATATGGTAATAGACAGACTTATAATTGAGATGGAAAAACAGCAAGCAGCTTACTCAGGATTTCTTCTTGACAGATCTTTGTCAAATTATGAAATAGTTTCTTAAACAAATGAATTAATTAAAATATATTTATCAGATCAGGAAGAGCCATTTGTCTATAAGCTTCTTTTGTTTTTCAAAATTGTCACAGACACAAAATCTGTTGCTGAAATGATGAAGGCACAAATTAAGAATAAGTTAGTGAAGATTCCTAAATGTAAATATTACTTTATGTATTTATCTTTCAGATTTTGGAACATTTTGTGGAGATCTCTGTGGTCAACGATGTGACAAAAACGATTTTCTTTCCTTGCATTTCTTTCAATTGAAAATAATTTAATGCAGGAAATATCCTTTGAAGTTTTTTGTTTTTTTCAAAGTTTATATAATTTAGTCTATAACTCTATTGTGTATAACAACTAAAACAGTTTCTAATTATAAAAATGATTGATTTTGAATTTTATTTTTTTGGATTTTTTTCTTTATTTTTAATCTCTCAATAAAAAAATTTTAAAAAAATTTTAATCATATTTTACATAGGTCCTAATTATTCATAGGCCCTAGGCACTGTCAACTGGATAAAATGACCCTCACTCTTGGTATAGTTTAGATAGTTATAAAAAATGTTTTTGTTTTTAGTCGTTTTAATTTAATAAAATTGCAATGTTTGTTTAATCTTTTACCAATACAAAAGAGAGCTCAGACATACCATTATTATTTACCAATACAAAAGAGAGAACAGACATACCATTATTATTTACCAATACAAAAGAGAGTTCAGACATACCATTATTATTTACCAATACAAAAGAGAGCTCAGACATACTATTATTAATCAGTTCTTTTATTTGTTTTAGTGAAAAAATTACATAATCAAAACCTAATATTTAAAATACTATACATATACAAGTATTTTTTAAATTGACATATAATTATTTTAAAATTCGATGAACAAAGTATTTTAATATGTTTTATGAATGATTCACCTGACTTTCATCTTTATTAAAGTTTTCAATTTTTATTAATACTCTTGAATTGATGTGTATAAAAAAAACATTAAAAAAATCATGATTATTTAAGCAACAGAAGCCGTGCATTAGAGGTCGTGCATCAGAGGTTGTGCATCAGAGGTCGTGCATCAGAGGTCGTGCATCAGAGGTTGTGCATCAGAGGTCATGCAACAGAGGCCGTGCATCAGAGGTCGTGCAACAGAGGCCGTGCATCAGAGCTTAATTTTAAAATAATCTTGATCTGTGATGCAATTCATTACAAAATCATTATAAAATTAAATATTTTAGTAGATCGAAAATTCTAAAAGATTATCTATTAAAAAGAGATAGTAGATGAACCAAAAATTCTAAAAGATCATCTATTGAAAAGAGATAATAGAAAACATTAGATTTTAGGAAAATATAGAAGAAAAAAGTCAAAAATTATTACACAAAAAAATTTATTAAAACTAAAATTTTTTAATCTTATTATTTTATTGCTCTTGAAAAATCTTTAGAATTATTTTTTATAAATCAAAATTTCCCTCAATATATACCTTTCATAGAAAATATATATCCCATATGCCATAGTAGCTGTAGCAAAGCGGTTAGAGTTCTTGCTAAACAAAGAGATTTGTAGCTTTATGCCGGCTGTGACCTTTTTTTCCAATGTTGTTACATTGAAAAAAAAATGAGGAGTAACTTCCTAGTTAAATGCTTATAAATGCTCACAGTGCTCTGTAATAACATGGTTAACTCTTCTTGTAGCACCTTGTATATATATAACTAGTATATATATATACTAGCTATACAAATCAAGGTAACTTTCTATTTAGTTTCAAAATAAAAAATGACCAAAAAACCGAATTGGCACTGAATTCAGACGAACAAAGCTAAATTAAAACTTAATTAAATATATTAGTGTAACATTAAAAAATAAATTTTAAGTGTATAACTATCATAGACTTTATAAATAAAAATCAACAACATGGGAACATAGGATGGAATCTTGAGGAACTCCAGAGAATAATGGAAAATTTAGCACACATAATTTTAAAAAGAAAGAATTTTAAAACAGAAAATAGTAATTTTCAAAAATAATGCATCTTTTTAACTTTTCTATCAAAAACATTTTAAAAAATTAAATAAAAAAAACAATTTAGTGCAAATTTACAGATATCAAAATAAATAAAATGGACAAAGAAAAAAATCTTAGTCTATTAGAAACAATACCAAAAGAGTAATAATAAGATAAAAGCAATAGAAAAAAAAAGCGATAAGATGAAGTGGTGAAATATAAATGTTTAAGTAGATGGGTAGATAAAAAAGATTGATAGATAAGTTGGAAATAAAAATATAACTTCACAACAAATAGTAAACAAAATTGATAAAACTGGGTAATTTAACAGTATTAAGTAATGTTGTTATGGTGGTAAATGCTTGTTGTAAATAGTGGTAGGGTGGTCCATGAAAGATTTAAGCAATAAGATGGTTGTGTCTTTGAAATTCTTTACTTACAATTTTCATTTTTCATAGAACCACTCATAAACAATTGAAATTTAACATATTATTCATCTTAAACCTTTTCTTCCAGTAGTTTTCTCTCAGCTTTTTCTTTGGCCTCTCTTTCTTTGCGTTCTCTTTCTTCTTTTTCTTTTTGTATACGTTCTTCTTCTATAAAATTAAAATTAAAAGATTGCATAGTATAAAAAAACAGAAATTTGAAACAAAATACAATTAAATCACTAACCAAGAAAAAAAGAGTTACATAATTAAACAGTTACTCTAACAACAACAAAGTTTAAAAAAACACATAAAAAGAGTGTTTTTTTTTAAGTATATGAGTATTAGACTAAAAACCTATAATGATTTAGAGATATTTAGGAATCACTTAATATTTTGTTGAAAAATAATTAGATATTATTAAGGCCCTATTATTACCCAACATTTCTTTTTTTTTAGTTAGACAACTTTATACAAGTTTTTTTAAATAAGGATTTATAACTAAATTTTATTGCAGAAAAATAATCTTTTTGAGACTTTTTGACAATAGGTAAGAAAGAAAATATATATATATATATATATATATATATATATATATATATATATATATATATATATATATATATATATAATTATATATATATATATATAAATGTTATGGAAATATATATATATATATATATATATATATATATATATATATATACATATATATAAATATATATATATATATATATATATATATATATATATATATATATATATATATATATATATATATATATATATATATATTTCCATAACATTTATCAAATTTTTAGCAAAAATATCTAAAAAAATTATTAAATAATCATATTATAGCAGTGAATTATAAGTACAGAGGTACATGTTTTATAAATATAGTTTGAGGTCACTTTTATAATCAAAATTAAAAATACATATATCAGGGCAAATAAGAGTTGAATCAGAAATGAAACAGATAAAGGGCACAGTTCACAGAGTAAATTTATTTATTTTTAGATATTCAATTTGCTATTATATGTAAAATAATAAATATTGAGTATGTTTAATATTTTGTAAATTTCATACTGAAATAATAAAAAAAAATATTTTTAAAAATAATTCAACTAAAGAAAAAAGCTTTTTAAAAGTGAAATGTAAAGTTTAAAGCATTTTTACTTTTAAATTCTTTTTAAATTGTGAAAGAACAAATAAACAGAACAAAATAAGTTAAACTTAAAAGTGTACAATTAAATGTGTTATGAACAATTAAAGATTTATTCTGTTTGAATTTTATTTTATAACTTACACCTTAATTATAACAACATCACAACACCATCTGTAAAGTTGTTATAACAATATGACAATACTGTCTGTAATGTTTTTATAACTAATGTGTAAGCTATATAATAAATACTAGATAATTTACTTTATCATATGTTGCATAAATTATGTCATGAACTTAAATTTCTTACACATTACAAATTAACCTTATTTGTAACTGCATCACTACTATTAATAACATAAACTTTAAATGTAGAAGAATCTAAGATGCAGATAAATTCCAGTATAGAGGTGGAAGAGTTGACAATAATTGTATTGAATACTATACATAAAATAAACATTAAAATAATATCATTAGTTAAACTACTACCTTCTTGTTTTGCTTTTAACTCTGCTGCTTTTTTTTTTAACTTTGCTTTTTGAGCCTTGCTCAATTTTTTTGTCTTCTTTTTTTCCTTTTTAGGACCCTAAAAGTATAAAAAACATGTAAACTTATAAAGTATACAAAGAGTGTAAACTTATAAAGTATACAAAGAGTGTAAATATAAAAAGTATAAATATTTAAATAAATCACATTTTTTTCTCTCAATATGTTTTTAATCACAGTAATAGGTTTTTTGTATTTTTATTTAAGCACATGAGGTCAATATCTTTAATGCAAAATGTAAGCATTAACAATGCATAAAAGCATGCACTGACACTATTGTAGCATGTATGCATTGATATATATATATACCAGCAGTAAAATGTAAAATATATTAAATGACAGGTTAAGTTGTTCAAAGTTTAATACATAAAATGACTAAAAAAAATATAAAATATTCCAGACCAAATATTCCATTGCTGGAGGTGGTTGCATTCAATTAGTTAAATTTTAACTATAAAATACAGCACAGACATGATATAGTATAATTTTATACTTTATTATATTTAAATTAATACTATAAAGCTGTAAAAATAAAATGAACCTTCTGTAATATAATAGATAAGAAGTCATAATACACAATAGAGTGACATAAAACTTCATAAACTTTTTAGCCTGTTTACTAAAATTTTCATTCTTTCATTCATTTAAACAAAGATTACTAATGCCGATTTTAAGAAACATAATTATAGTAATTTATCTTTGTTACATTTTAAAAACACTAACTGACAGTGTCAGAATGTAAACTTGCTTGCTTAGGGCTCATAACCAGGCACTCTGAATGAATACTCTTTCCATAGGAGCACTACTTACAGATACCACAAAGGTATACACAGTGGTAGACTGGGAGCTTGGTGAAGGCCAGAAAACTTAAGAGTGGCACATATAGGGTTTGTCAGGAGGGGGTTAGAAGTACCCTTCCCGCCATCTAGGGTGCACTGTAAGCTCTCTTAGTAGATTCTTGGCTTTAGTTCCAACTGTGAGTTTAATAAGAAATTACATTTACTAGTAAAAAATTAATTTGGTTTATTTATAGCATAATCAATATAAAGAACTAGGATAACAGTTTTGAAAACAGTCAAACATATTTTCAAGACTGTTCAAAATATCAACCTCACATGCAATTAACATATATGCCTCCAAGTTTTCATTGAACATAATGCTCCTGGTTTTAGTTTTAATAAGTTTCAACTTAAAGAGAGAGTAGAATTATATGCAACCTGGGTACAACTTTGTTGAACCATTCCTTCAGTTGTGTTGCCTTCATTTTGTTAACTATGCAAGTATACTAAAGAACAAAGTTTTTTGATGTTTAATGTTTGTGAACTTACGATGAGATAGTGCCAATCAAAATGAAAGTAGCAGTGGATGTACATGGGTTAAACTCAGATTCACTGCTCACTGGGTGTTATTCTTAATTGGTCTAAAACTCTTCAAAAGGTTTAAAAGGTTCAAAAGATCATAGTTAAAAAAAACAACCTTAATTAGGCTCATACTCAAGGTGTTATGCTAAACATGTAGAAAATGTAATTAGTATGCATGATAAAGAAATGAATTGACTTTTTTTTGGTGTAATATAGTTTTTTTTGGTGTTTTTGATTGATTTTTTTTTAGTATAAAAAAAGTTATGATCAACCAATCAAGATCTTTTGAATAAATGATTATTTATTCAAAAATAAAAATAAAAATAAACCTGATTTTTTAAATTGATTTCAATTATTCTCTAGTTTAGACACTTCAATATATTAAATAAATTATTTTTTTATATTTATTCTTTTTTTTGAAAAACTCTTTGCTTACATTTTTATTGTTTATCTTAAGTTAGGAAAATTAAAAATTGTTTTTATATTAAAGGAAATAAAAAATACTTTTAGTAAACTAAATTTACTTGTAAAGTACACCAAAAGCATTAAAAATGAAACATGTAGTGAAACATATCATTTATATTGTATTTGCGTAAAACATAAAAAAAAGATAATTAAATATAGATTTTTCATAATATTATTCTATTTCATTTACAAATGCAAAAGTTTAATTTATAAAAACAAAAAATTAATTTTTCTCCTCAGTTACAAATACAAAATTTACATGTTTTGTAAAAACAATATATATTTTTTTAAATATATACTTTTTTAATTTAAATACCTCGTATACTAGATATTTAAATGCACAGATTAAATTTACTTCCCTTGCACAGTGAAAAAATCTTACTCTGCCCCTTATAAGTCTTTGTTGCAAATTTAAATTAATTTTAAATTAGTATATTTCAACCAAAGTTCTTTTAACACTCTACTGCCTAGGTAGAAGTTTAACATTAAATTGCAAGCCATGGGTAAACCGCAAGCCATGGGTTGCTTTTTTTTAAATGTCAGAATGCAATGACTTTTTTTTTGTTTTTTTTAATGCTTTTGTATTTACCACACCTAAATTCTCAATATCGCGAAAATACTGTACAAATTTTTCTTCTGGTTAACACCCTGGTTCACTGTGCAGATAAAAAAAATGAGGTTTAGACAGACTGGACTAAGTAGAACTATTTGCACTTAAATAACAAACAATTACATAGTTAGCAAGTCTTTCTTCTGATTGTGAACGCAAACAAATTGAAAAATCAGATTTGGTCCTAAAATGGAAAACAAATTAAGTAGACTCATATTGTTCCCCATTTTAGGAGCAAAGTAAACTTGAATTCTTTGACCCAAAACATTATTATTCCAAATATATCATTAATTTACAATGTTTGTCAAAATTTAATGAGTTTTGCCATTTTTTGATTAGACTGAGGCATATTGCATTAATGGCATTTTAGAATATCACAACAAAAAAATATTCAAAATTGCTTTAATTTTTTTGCATTTCAACTTGAGTTCTCAGCTCTGATATATATATATATATATATATATATATATATATATATATATATATATATATATATATATATATATATATATATATATACATATTTATATATATTAACCCTCAGAATTAGGGTCGGCATTTGGCAACGCCGACCTAACTGCCAACCTGAAAGTGTTTGAGGTCGGCAAAAAATTGCCAACCTTGTTTCTATGTTTTATGGTCAGACCTTTGCATCAAATAATTTTTGCCAACCTGATGCCGACCTTAAAAAGATTGAGGTCAGCAATAATTTGCCGACCTCATTTTTCCTAATTCCGAGGGTTGATATATATATATATATATATATATATATATATATATATATATATATATATATATATATATATATATATATATATATATATACATATATATATATATATATATATATATATATACATATACATATATATATATATATATATATATATATATATATATATATACATATATATATATATATATATATATATATATATATATATATATATATATATATATATATATATACATATATATATATATATATATAAACTAATTACAGTAATATAACCATATTAAGACCTTGCCGAAACCCTTATTAACACCTTGCCATAACATTACCAAACCTTCAGTCAATGTAGCAGCATTCCCTAGCAAGTCAGGCTATTTTATAGTTGATATATATACTTCTCACTCTCTATAAAAGTTGCTTATGAGTGCATTTTTTTTACAAAAAAACAATGTTTCTGGGGACAAAAAATTAACGAGTAGACAAAAATATCCCAGATAATGCTAATATCCCTGTATATATTCTTTTTTTGTAAAATTTGTCCCTGAAAGTGATACTATAAGTGTGTATATATATATATATATATATATATATATATATATATATATATATATATATATATATCATATATATATATATATATATATATATATATATATAAATATATATATATATATATATATATATATATATATATATATATATATATATATATATATATATATATATATATATATATATATATATATTACAGTAAAAAATCTCACCATTTACAACTTTTTATTGAAATATTATTCAATAGAGCAACATTTGTTTGATAAAATTCCTAAAAATAAAATTCATTCTTTAAATTTTTTTCTTAAATTTAAAAAAAAAAATTTTATTACATACATACATACATACATACATACATACATACATACATACATACATACATACATACATACATACATACATACATACATACATACATACATACATACATATAATTTTAATACGAATAAAACAGACGGGTCACTCTATTTTATTCGTATGAAAAAAATAGACGGAGTTTTTGTTCAAAAAAAATTAAGTAAATTATTTCCCATATTATATTGTTATAGCATGAAAGGGACTTGTAAGAACCCTTATAGAATCTTGTGTTTTTCCTAACAAAAATTAAATATAAATTACTATTTTGCTGTTATACAAAAGAGAAACTTTTTAAAAGGCTTTTTTATGGCTATATTCAAGAGTGAAATCTACTCATTAAGTGTGTGTACTTATTAAGTAGATTATTTAGTAGGGGTTAAACTTTTTTTTCATTTTAAAAGTGTAAATTTCGTAAAAATTGCTACTTTTTACGAAATTTACTTATCTAAGAAATTCATTTACATTATTTTAAGAAATTTCATCATCAATTAATGACAATAAATAATCAATGAGTTCAACGTATAAAATATATAGTTGCTAACGTATGCAGTTATGAAACTTGTTTTATTTAATATAAACAGTTGCTAACGGTATTTGTTTTTATTTTACTCGATGTCAGCGAAATCAAATTTTTAAGATTTTATCCTTACCGTTCAGATGAGCATAATCTATATGCACCAATCATATTGCTAGTATCTTACATCGTGAATTAAGTTGCTTTCAATTCCACATAAAAAAGAACTCCTTTTTGCAATTATATAGTGTTAATAAAAATATACTTTACGTAGAATTTTCCTTACACTATGAGTAGCTCAGAAGAAGTATCATGGATAGCCTGGTTTTGTGGCCTTCGTGGAAATGAATTTTTTTGTGAAGTAATAAAGTTGTATTAATTTCGTTTAACGAATATTTGTTTATATTTATCAAAGGATGTTTAACGATTCACTAAATAATACTGATATATTCATATAACATTTACCATAATACCGTTAGTGGAGCTACTTTCATAGTATTAAAATGCTTTTTTTATTGAACAAAATAAATGACCATTACGGAGTAAAAAATAAAAACGCTTATTTTTTTTTTCCTTTTTGCTTTGAAAATCCAATTTATGTTCAAATTATTTTTTTTTCAAAAGTCCTGCTAAAAATATCTAAGTTTTGTAATATTAATTATTATTGCATGTTAAAGACGCATAATTTATTCAAATTCTTTTATTTTTACCTAAACCTTTACTTCATATTTTTTAAAAACTAAACAATATCAAATCACAAGTAAAAATAATTTAAACAACAACTGTTTGAAACATTTACTTAAAACCATAAAACTGATGAAAATAAAATCTGTTTCACTAATCCCGTACTTAATTACTGTTGTTGTTTTATATATATATATATATATATATATATATATATATATATATATATATATATATATATATATATATATATATATATATATATATATATATGTATGTATATATATATATATATATATATATATATATATGTATATATATATATATATATATATAATATTTTATATATATATATATATATATATATATATATATAACATTGCTTAAGAATAGTAAAAAGATGAGACTTAATTGAATGATAAGTAACACGAGAATGATTTTTAGTAGATGGCACAAGAGATGCTAGCTCTTCAGAGCAGTGCCATATATATATATATATATATATATATATATATATATATGTATATATATATATATATATATATATATATATATATATATATATATATATATATATATATATATATATATATATATATAAATTAGTAGAAAATCACTTAACAAAATTTTTTTTTTATTTTACACTGTGTTTCATCAACAAGACTCATCAGAAAATCAACAAAGACTCATCAGATTTTTTGATGAGTCTTTGTTGATGAAACACAGTGTAAAATGAAAAAAAAATTTTTGTTAAGTGATTTTCTACTAATTTATAATTGCTCTGTTCTTTTAAGAACATTGAGCACTCTATTTTGTAAAATACATTTTTAAAATTGTTTAAATATATATATATATATATATATATATATATATATATATATATATATATATATATATATATATATATATATATATATATATGTATGTATATTTGAGATAAGCCGCACAAAATATTTAAAAGTTAATAATATATTTTTATTGTATATGATTATTATTAGCTTATATATCGATCTTCTAAAGATCTATACTATCTGTTTTTTAAGCCTTAAATAATAAAAAGTTTAAAAACAGATGGTTTTAAATTTGCTTTAGAAATAAAAAAAAAAATTATAAATTAATAATAATTCTAAAATCCAATTACCTAAATACTAATGGTATGCAGGAAATTTTCAAAAAGTACTCTAGAGTTTGTTCTTTATTTTTACCTGGTTTATGTAGTCCTGAAAGTCCAAAAATGTTTAGAAACTTCTAAACTTGATAAAGAGAAAAAAAAAAGACTTAAAATCTAATATTTTTAAACCTAAAGCTTGAGTTTCTTGCTACCATTTTATATAAAGATTTTAATTGTCATATGAAAATGTTGACCAATATTTGTTCATCACAAGCTGAAAAAGACCTATTTGTTTTTGTTCCAAAGTAAGTTAATAAAGTTGTCAAAGGTAACTTAGCCTAAAGAAAACCAATAGTTGTTTTGGATTATATTGTTCATGTTGTTTTCAACCATTTCTTAATAGATTTTTTGTAAAGGGTTTTTTTTTTATAAACTTTTTTTCATTATTTTATTACATTTATTTTTTGTCATTATTTTCTTTAGTATAATTATTACATTTTTATAAAGTGATTTATTTTAATATCTTTGTGTTTAAGGTTGATGAAGATTACATTCAAGATAGGTTCAATTTAACAAGTCTAAATGAGCAAGTGCCCCATTACAGACAAGCTCTTGACATGATATTGGATCTTGAGCCAGGTTTTTCTTTTTGTATTTAAAAAAATTATTTTATACTATAGGTTGTTGTAAAGGTATTTAAATACATAATTCTGTACTAACTCTGACACAGAATGAAAAAGTTTTATTTCTGTGTTTAAATTAAAGATTTTTGGTAATTTTTGGTTAATATCTTAAAAGTTTCTAATAATTTCCTTTTGTACAAAAAATTATACAAAACTGAATATTTATTAAAAATAATAACTAATCTTTTTTTTTATTATAAAAATGTATACTTTATTTTCTTCAAAAACAAATATGCTTTTCTTATAACACACACACACACACACACACACACACACACACACACACACACACACACACACACACACACATTAATTTGGCAATTTTTTCATCTTTACAAAGCTTATTTTTTCTTTAAGAAACTTTTAAGTTGATTCATTACAAAGTATTGACAGTTAACACACACATGCACACACACAAGGTTTTAACTAAAATTTCATTTATGTAAAAATCTTTGAAGAAAAAATAATTAAAAATATAAATAATTGCTTTAAAAATAGAAACATATTTTTAATCTTCATTATTATGCAATATTTATAATTATAAATATTAGTAATATGTAGTTATAAAAATTTTATAAATGTTTATTTTTAAGTATTAGTATTTACATTACTAGTTTACTGTTAAGAATATATTAATCATAATTTATATTAAGAATATATTAATTATAATTTAGTTGTCTTTTTTATTCTCTGCAAAATTTAACAAAAATGTATACTTTATGCATACTTCATTTATTAAAATATGCATTAATGCAAGAAAGCAGAATGTACGTGAATGTAACATAAATGTGAGAGAATAGAATGTATACGGATGCATAGTTTCTCTGTACATTGGTTTTATTTATCAAAGCTTGCATTTTGGTGTTAAAGGATTAAGAGAGGGTTATAACTGATACAAAATATTAAGTACAAATAACGCCCCCCCCCCCTCAGCATTAGAAAGTGAATAAAATAGAAAAATAAAAAATCTCTAGATTTTAAATATTATTATTTGCCAGTTTTATTGTAACTATGTTAGTTTTAAACAGTTATTATTATAGCCCCACCACCTCTCTGTCTACCTAAACATGAAACATGTTACTGTTATTAAATATTTTTATTCCCCATCACCGCCACTACCACCTCTGCCTCTCCCTTATCATGAAACATAAGAGAGGCAGTTTGTTACTAATATATTCTAAGATGTCTGACTGCTACTAGTATTGAAATTATTTTTATTTGAAAATTCTTTTTTTATTGAAATTTCTTAAATGAATTATTGAATGTTACAGCATAACAAAAAGTCTATATCAATTCATCTTCTTTTCTTTCTTTTTTTTTCATTACTAGTTATTAAATTTTTACTTTTAGATGATGAATTTGAAGATCAGACAAAAAGTGACCTAATTGAACAAGCAGCTGAAATGCTTTATGGCCTGATTCATGCAAGATACATATTAACCAATCGTGGCATTGCTCAAATGGTAAGTTTAATAATGGTTTTTTTAATAAAGAAGTTGTTATTAAAGAAATTAGTTAATATATAAAGAAGTTGTCAATAAAGAAATTGCTTAGTCTTTTTTAATAGCTAGATAAATGGCAAAATCGTGATTTTGGTCATTGTCCAAGAGTATACTGTGAAAATCAACCAGTTATGCCTATTGGTATGTTTTATTTTTATTTCGTTATTTATAATGTTATTCTAATGATCAAGTTTGATTCAGTAACTTGAAAATATACTTGATTTCAGTCTTAATAGAGAAGTATCTCAACTTTTCCTTTTTTAAAAAATTCTTTAAACCATATCGAATTGCTTAAAAGTAAAGAAAAAATTCATTTGTTTTAGTTATGAGTTATTATTAAGTTGAACTTATTGTTATTAATTGTTCTAATGATAAAATACTAGCTAACCTTAATCAAAATAATTGATAAAAATAGTTTTTTTAAAAATAAATAAAGGAATACTAAAAAAAAAAATGCAGCTACTAGGTATTTTCCTTTAGGTGTTCCTTTAAAACAGTATTAAAAATATTTTTAATACTGTTTGATTTAAGTTAGGTAAGGAACTAAAAGAATTATTATAATAATTATTGTGTATATATGTATTTTGTGTGTGTATATGTATATATGTGTGTGTGTTTATATATGTGTGTTTTGGTGTGTGTGTGTGTATATATATATATATATATATATATATATATATATATATATATATATATATATATATATATATATATATATATATATATATATATATATATATATATATATATATATATATATATATATACATATATATATATATATATATATATATATAAAAGGTAAATAAGAGATGTTCAAATTGTTCAAAAGCTAAACTAGAGATGTTCAAAATCTTTTGCGCTGTTTATCTGTTTATTACTATTTGTTTCAGTCAATATTTATTTTATATTTATTTTATCAATTCCCCAAAAAAAGAGTATGAGTATAAAAAATGAATTATCATTGCATGGGATGGGTTTTCTGTGTTATTGCAAGTATTAGAAGTGTTTAAATAATTATTTATTCTATTTTTATATATTAATTACTAATTAGTCATTCAAACAAAGTACATAATGCAAATTAGTCAATTTAGTTCACTTTAGCCCCCTCCCCCCTCCATTTTTCTGACTAATGAGAGTTAAGTGAACTAGTCTGCTACGTTTTTTCATTAAATACCTTTTGTAAATCTGTACATAACATCATAACTACATGCTTAAATTGTTTACTTTTAAAGTAAATATTTATTTTATTATTATTTTTTTTTAATTTATTTTAAAAATATAATATATTAAAATAAAGCCAAGAGTTTAAATTTAAAAAACATTTGCATCTGATTTGTTACAGATTATCTAAAATTAAGAATAAAGAAATGTTTTTTGTATGTTCCATCAAAAAAATATGGTGTTCCAAGTAGTACAGTTGCTAGATATTTTTTAGGCATAAAATGCTTAAAAATTAGTAAAGGGGGGCAATTGTTTTTCTTTTATCTGCATAATCTGATTTTAGATTTGGATTGAAAAAAAGCAATTAATGAAACTTGTTCATATGTGTATAGAAAAAAATGGATTTCAAAAAAGATTTGCTGGTAATTCGTGGTTTCATATTTTTATGAATTGTTGGCAAAAAAAATTACGGATAATGACTCCAAAGCTTTTGAAATTAAAAGAAATAGCTTGCATGAAAACTGTAATTGATGCTTGGTTTTTTCTTTACTTAGATCTAAAATGGAAAAATACATAATGAATAGATCTGCTCGGATATTGAATTGTGAAAGTGGGTTTAACACTAACCCAAGAAATAAAAAAATTATTTGCAAAAGAGGAAGTAAAAACTCTATAACCAGCAAAAAATATCAGCTGCAGGAAGAAATTTTTCTTCATTTATTTTATTTGCAGGAATGAATTTATCTAATGGATGACTGGTAGTCATAAGGGTTTTCTATTTGGGTAGACAAAAATGGTTGGATGGAAGCAGGGCTTTTTACTGAATACTTTGACCATATTATTTTGTGATTATAAGACATTATGAAACCTATTTTGCTCATCTATGATGGTCATATGAGTCATATTTCTTTGTATATATTTTGTTTATATATCATATATTTTGTGTTTGCCAGCATGCTGTTCACAATTACTTTATTTGCTGACCACATAAATTAGTTGGACCGATGAGAGACAATTACAAAAAAAAAAAAAATTAGGCAAATAAAATATCTTTATGAAAAAACTTAAAGCTAAATAAATTACGTTTAGAACAATTATTTTTGAAACATCGTTCTTTTATAATTTTTTTATATAAAATTAAGCGATGTTTTTAATATAAAGTAACATCTTACGATTGTTTAAAAAGGAAACAAATATTCTTTATTTAACAAAGTTTGCAAGTTTTAGTTTTATTTAAGCTAAATTATTTTATAAATGAAAAAAAGTTAATTTTTTTAATACCTATTTTATATTTCGCGTAGTTTGAAAAGTTTAACATATTTAAAGCAATTCTTCTTAGTAAGATGAACAAATAAAATAATTAAATCATTGAATTACTATAGAAAATAAATTAACAAGCTAGAAATCAACTAAAAAGGTTAAAAGTACTTTATGACGAGGAAGCGAAACTGCTTCACAATATTGCTAATGATGTTTAGTGAGTGGGCTATTTAATTAGTATTTAAAGCAGAAAAAAGTATAACGAGTTTTTGAGAATTAAAAACTGAAGCAAAAATAATTAGAGTTAATAAACCGATATCTAGGTTGTTTTTTTTATATCTAATAACCTGCTATATATATTTGTGTTCTGTCGTGACCTCATGTGCGGTGCTTGTTCATCTGTGAGTTACTTTGTATGCGTTGTTTGTGTTTAGTAACCAGAAACTTCTTATATGTTTGTTAGATAATTAGTTTTATTAACTTTAATGATTATAACTTCATTAAAAACGCAATTATTTTTGTAAGTCTTTGTTTAAATCATAAAAATTGCTTTAAAAGATACATTATGATAAAAAACAGATACATAAAATTACATTTACATAAAGAATACATACTTTTTAAATAAAAAAAAGAATATACTAATAAAATCTATAATTTATAATAAACTGTTAAAATTTTGACAATTTAATTAATGTATATTTAAAACATTTATTTTTGTAAACAAACGATATATATTTTTAAAACAATTTATGTTAGAAATCTCAAAACGTAACAAATCGTAAATAATACAATTTCTAAAACATTTCAACAGAATACTCTAGAACTTTATTTTGCTAGTCAGTGTATTTTTTGAATCAATAGAATTTGTTTGTTCGTAAATTTGGCAGGTTTAAAGTGTTCCCGAATATTCTTTTTATTCTTTTGTACCAAGATGTTAAATTAAAGTTTTTTATGTTTCCATGTATGCTCGTAAAAGAAAAATTTTTTGTTTCGTACATAATCTTAAATGTTCTCAAAACGACTAAAAAACCTGGCCAGTTTTTTGCAACTAAATATAATTTCTGTGCTCAGTATTTGAGAGCAATCGCTCCTGCTTCCTGACCAAACCTGTTTTATATGTCAGTTTATTTTTATTTACAGTTACTTTATTTATATAATTTACTTTGTTCTGCTACAGTCAGTTGGTGTGGGAGTCTTTTGCTAAGTTAAATCTGTATGCTGAGAAATTCTGTTCATCGGTATACTGAGTCAAGACTCAATTTGGTTGGGAAATCTGTTTTTTCATTATTAAAAACTTTGATCTTAAATCTGTTTTTTCATTATTAAAAACTATATTTATTATTTCTGTAAACTGAATCATTTATTACAATTCGCAATTCTTGTATACAAAGAATTAAACCATAAAAAAATTTTAACCATTAATATCAAATGTAGATTGTTTTACTGGAAATAAAACATTAAGAGAAATAGTCCATAATAGACAATAATAGAAATAGTAAAAGAACAGTTAAGGCCTAAAAATGGTGCTTGTTCATACAGTAAAAAACTAACAGCAAAAAATAAAAAGACGCTATTGAGGTGAGTGTCTTACATCAGAAGATGCATTTAAAAGATTCAACGATGAAGAAACTAAATGCTTTAAAAAAAAGATCAATTCAAAGAAGCAGCAAAAAAAGAAAAGTTGAAAAGAAATAACAAACACAAAATATGGAGTTCACTTTACTACAGTGTTGGTGGAAAGTAAATTAGTGAATATGTTTTGAATATATATTTAAAATTAGTATTTTGTTTTACAATGTAACAATACGTGTAATGGTATGAAATTTGAAAAGCACAAGTTGTTTGAAGTACTCGGTGGGAAGTGAGAGCTTAAATTCATGCAAAAGTATAAACTTTTGAAATTAACAGTGTCAATGAATATTCAGTGACACTGAATGTGTTTGGGCTGAGTACCTAGCAAGATTTTTAGTATTCTGCAAAATCACTTTTCATGAAATCTCTTTTATGTGTGTGTGCGTATGTATATATATATATATATATATATATATATATATATATATATATATATATATATATATATATATATATATATATATATATATATATATATATATATATACATACATATATATATATATATATATATATATATATATATACATATATATACATATATATACATATATATATATATATATATATATATATATATATATATATATATATATATATATATATATATATATATATATATATATATATATATATATATATATATATATATATATAAACAGTTTTCAAATGTATTCTACAAAATAATAAATTAGTAGAAAACCACCTGACAAAATTTTTTTATTTAAAACTGTTTCATCAATAAATTTTTGATGAGTTTTTATTGATGAAAGATAGCATTAAATAAATTTTATATATATATATTGTTATTAATATTATTATTATTACATTCTAAATTGCTGCATAATATTTTTTTATGCAATAGTTGTATATTTTATATATTAGTTATAATGAAATTAAATTTGTTTCAATTTGAGCCAATAATTTTTTAAATGTATAAGTAGATAGCTTATGCAAAAAACCAAAAGCTCTTGTAAAAAGTTTTCTCCACTCTTGCATTCATTTACTTCTGCCGCTGTGTTTAACATGCTCAACATTATACTCAAAAACTTTAGATTAACTCATCAGAAAAAAAAAATTTCCTTGCGGAAAGTAGAAATTTTTTATGCTAGAAAGACAGAAGCATGCAAAAACTTAGGGATCATCCATAAAGTAAAGCATGTACGCTCGGAGAGGAAGAGGAGGTCTGTAAGTGGCATTTCTGAAATAAGGGGGCAATAGGTCAATTATAAAAGTATGGAGACACTAAATTAAAAAAAATATCATAAAATGTTAGGTTAGTAGGTTAAAAGCGTAGGTACTTTTAGGGAGATAGAGAGTACTCAAAAAAGCATATGGCAAATTGCAGGGAGGGTTGGCAAAAAAAAAGCATACATACTTTATGGACGACCCCTTACAACTCTTGCATTTGACTTTGCTAAGAATATGAGTTGTCTTAATGTTTCTACAAACAATGTGTGAATTATTGTAGACAGCTCTTTATGAACACATTTATTATATGCTGTATAGGGTCAAATATTCTGACTTGTTTTTTTAAGATAAAACTTATGGGAAGAAAGGAGCAGCTAAGCTTGTATTTTGATTTTACCAAAAGGTAAAGCACTATTTTGACCACATTTTACCAAACATAAAGCACTATTTTAATCACATTTTACCAAAAGATGTGATTTCTGTGTTTTTTGCACTTTAATGTTGTGAAAAAGACACGTTTCAAGAAATCATACTATCTTTCTCGATAAGAAGCTATAGCTACATGGAGTGTGACCATTTTTAATATTAGTTAACCAGAAGATTTTAGCTGAGTAAATTCCGTACTTGTTGTAGGATAGAGCTGAACATGTTCCTAAATTTTTCTGAACATTTCAAACCATTTAAGCAAAATGTCCTATTTGTGAGTGTCCGATTACCTGTCCTTTTTATAAAATTATTTTCTTATAAGAATTCCCTACTATGTTACTATACAAATTCAGTTGGAATAGATCTCATTTATAGTTCATATTGTTTAACATAGTTAACTATATTTTTCATAATATAAACATAATACCATATAAAAATTATGTATAAAAAAATATTTGTTTTAAAAATGTATTTGTAAAATTCACTCAAATTGATTTCCTTGCATAGGAAGTTAGAGTGTTAGAAAGTTAGGATTAGCCAAATAAATATAATAAATTTTAAGTTTTTTTATTTTTCTTTTAACATGATATTATGGAAAAGCAACTTATCGGTGGTATGTGATACGAATCCGACGGGTGGGGGAGGATGCTTTCTTGATAGTGGTTATTGTTTAAATTGTATATTCAACATGACAGTCATGCATTTGAATGTATTGTAGGCTACATTAAGTTTTAGTTTCTAAATCAAAAAATTTCACGTTAATATATCATGTAGTAAACCATACTAATTTACAAACTTACAATAAATATAGAGAATTGAAATGTATGTAATATAAGTCTTCAAACTTTATTTTTTGTTCAAAATTAAAAAACGAGACATAACTAATTTTTCCCTTGCACCCTTTATATGTTACTTGCACCCTTTATATGTTACTTGCACCCTTTATATGTTACTTGCACCCTTTATATGTTACGTTTTTTGAAAACAATATTTAAATAATATAACAAATAAAAAAACTTTTTATAAAACCACGTTTTTGTAATGAACTAAAAAGTAGAAAATAATTTTCTCTTGTGGCTATAGAAATTTTTGAAAATTAATTGAGTCGATAGTAAGTGACATGAAAACTTTTGAGTATGAACTCTTAATAATTACGATAATATTTGTAAAATTTTTAACGAAAAACGTGGTGCGCATCTTGTCACTTTAAATGATCATCATCGTCCTTAATTACTTTAACTATTGCTTCCTTCTTCTGTTCTTTTTTTTCGTTAAATGCGCACGTTTTTTGTTCAAAATTTTACAAATATTATCGTAATTATTAAGAGTTCATACTCAAAAGTTTTCATGTCACTTACTATCGACTCAATTAATTTTCAAAAATTTCTATAGCCACAAGAGAAAATTATTTTCTACTTTTTAGTTCATTATAAAAACGTGGTTTTATAAAAAGTTTTTTTATTTGTTATATTATTTTCTTCTTTTTAGTTTTTTGATAGGTAAAATTTTATATTTTGTAAACAACTGATTTTGTTTTTATGCTGCGGTCCATTTAAAATCACAGCGACAGTTAAATTTGGTTTTTTTGTTCGAAAATTTTTTATTTAAAGTGACGCGTCAAATTGCGGCGACGCCTCCAAAAGTTTCGCCATAATAAATTTTATTTTGCTGAAATTGTTCAAGAAACTCGGCAAATCATGGTAAAAGTAGTATAATATTGCATTGTCATCGGCTTCTGAGCTATAGTAAAAGTTTCAGAGCTCTAGCTAATCGAAAAGTGGGTTAAAATTGAGTTGCAAAATTCCACCCGGACAAACAAACTAACAAGAAAGCGAGCTAATAAAAACGTGGTAAAAAAGTTTTTCTAATGCGTATTTTAGGTTTATCGGATGTACCTGGCGAAGCTATGGTAAAGTTATATTGTCCTAAATGTATGGACGTTTATAATCCTAAGTCATCTCGTCATCATCATACAGATGGTGCATATTTTGGAACAGGATTTCCTCACATGCTCTTCATGGTGCACCCTGAGTACCGACCAAAGAGGAGTCCAAATCAATTTGTTCCACGGTAGGTACACAATTAATTTTTTTATGAGTAATATTTTTATATATATGTAATTCATCAGTATCACTTTTTCTCTTCATTTTTTGTTATTTTTATTTTTTAGACTTTTTGGATTTAAGATTCATCCAATGTCATATCAAATCCAAGCGCAGGCTGCTGCCAATGCTCGAGGTAGAAGTCCTTCAGCTCGACAAAGACCAATAAAAGCTAACCATTATAAATGAAAATTAGTATGCAACTTGCGTTTTTATGTAAAAACGATATTCGATCTTTATTGCGTATTTATGTAGAAATATTCAATCTTTCGTGCTCGCATATTTTTGAGTTATTTATTTTTGAACTTGCACCTTGCGTCATTTTTACATTGAACAGCAATGCGATTTTATTTCTAATGAACTTTTGTAAAAATTGCAATAGTATCGTGTAACCATGTTGATATTATTGTGTAACGTGTTGATTTTTGTAATGAAAAATGTTGATCGTTGTGAAATGATCCTTTTTTTTTTTTTTTTTTTTCTACTTTTTGAGAATTTTTTTTTAATGGAATATATAAAAAGAAAACTTGCTCTGATTTGAAAATTACTTGTCAAACAGAAAACAATACGTTCAATGTGGAAACGTAGAAACAACCAAAGCGCTATAACTTGTGGACTTGTTTTTTTCTATATTAGGAAATATATTCTATACTTTTCTTACAATACATAAATAATTTATCTTTAACAATAAATTTTTATTCTCATAAAAATAACAAAACGTTTAATTATATAAAACTATTTAATTATTCGTTTACAAAGTTTTAAAGTAATAAACTACTTATTGAAGAAAATAAAAAGATTTATTTTTAAAAAACTAAAATTCTTCATTCTACAAACCAAGCAAAATAAATAATTACCTAGGTGCTAGTAGAGCTGTACCTTGCAAACCTCCTTTTTGTATATTATGCCAAAAATATTTTTTAATTTAACATCTTGAATTAAAGTTCATTTAAAGTAACGCGGGGTTTGAACATGTAATAGATTAAATGTTTTTACCAGTCACCCGTTGATTATTGTTTAAATTAGTAACAGATGCTGTAGCCAAATTGCGACGTTAGAATTATCATGCTCTATCTCCGCTTTTCGAAAAAATTGAGTTATTGATAGTGTTTTGTCTCTCGGAATGTTTTTCTACTGTATTGGAACTTAGTTTTTAATCAATAAAGTTGCGGAGAAAAGTTATAAAAATTTATTTATAATTTTTATAACTTATATTTTAGAAGCTAAAGTCACTCCATGGGTCAAGAATCAAGCAAGAGTTGATGGAATATTTTATATCTGATGAATCTTTCACAATTACATGAAATGGAATCAAACCAAATTCTAAAAAAAAAAAAAAATGTCATCAGATCTAAAAACCAACCCTTGCATTAAGTTGAAATTCACACCTAACAATGTTGCATAATATTGGTAGGAAACATCAAAAACCTGAAAGTGTAGAAAATTGTCTTGTTTCTGAAATTAAACCAAACACTAAAAAAATTTTAACGAAGAAATCCAAGAAAAAATTACAGCGCTGCGGGATTTCGTCGTAATCAGATATTGGGTCATTAGTGCGATTGGGTCATTAGTACCTAATAGTTTAACAATTCTTAGAGAAAAAAAATTTAATCATAAATTAACAATGCTTTTTTATATTTTTAAGTAGAAACTATCAGAACCTAAGATAATTGATATCTTTCAAAAAATAATATAATTTCAAAAAATGGGAAACAGGCAAATAACCGAAAAACAAAATCCGATTTATAGCCGAATGAACAAATTCCGTATTATAGTCGAAAAAAAATAAGATTTTGGCACGTTCTACAAACAGTCGACGAAAAACACGATTTTGACGTAGTCTGTGATATAGTCGAATGACGTATTTTATTTTTAAACGAACTATGACGAGGTTTGACAACTACCCGAATTGATAATTTTGTCAAATAATCGAAATAAAACCTGTTCCGATAACCAGTCGAATTTGTGTATTGTCATAAATCACTTCTAACCGAATTTATTTGGACAAACATTTATAAATCGTCGAAAAATGAAATTCGACTATTTGTCATGACGTGTTCTGATAAATAATCGAACTGTTTTATTTTGACCAAGTCTGTTAACCAGTCGAAACTAATATTCGGCTATTCTCTGTGGCTGCTACATAAACCAGTCGACGGCTATAAAAATTTGGCAGCGTCATCAAAAAAGCCGAATTTAATTAAACCCCTCCAAACCATCGTATTTTGACTATAACTTGTACGTATTTTGAGTCGAAATTATACTTCAGTTCTAGTGAAACTACTCCGGATTGTGAGAATATTCACGATCCTAAACCTTTGTAAAAAAATAAGACTTGATTGACAGTTAAAACAAATGTTTGTATTTCAAAAAAAACCTCAACATGATGAGGAAAAAAAATTGATTATCACAAGGGTCTCATTCTCATACGTATATAAAAAAAACCTCATTCCGAAATGAGGAAAAAAAGTTCACGGGTCTCATACTTTCTCAAACTTCACAAAGGTCTCATACGTATACAAAAAAAACCTCAGAAATGAGGAAAAAAAATTCCAAGAGTCTCATTCACTTCATTCACACATGCATGCATCTTGTATCTGTTGTTTTATTCGTTCCAAAACGAATATCCTCCATCCTGATTATCGAATCCAGACACGAACAAACGATCGGGCACCTCAAATTGTCGACACGATTTAGACCTGAAATATTTAGGAAAAGTTGTTTAATTGTTATGTAACTAACTAAAGATGCAAATGTTTAAACGCAATATTACTTTTTTAAAATGTTCAATTACTGTAATACTGTAATATTGACTACTAATGTAATTGGAAAATAGAACGTTGTGCGTTACCTCAACCAATTAAAGTCTGGATGAGAGGAGAGACGTTTCCGGGTCCAATCGAGCGGGTCCAATCGAACGCGTTGAATGATGATCTGAAACCGAATTTTAAAAGTATTAAGTTTTAGAATATTGGTTCAGAGATACACGGGACCCATGTAAACAGTGTCTATTCACAAAATGTCTTCAGTATTAATAACTGGTAGTATTTACCTCTTATTTTTTTTGATTTTTCATTAGAAGAAGGAGGTAGAAGTGAGCCACAGTGAAGTGAAGATCCGGATTAGCCTGCAACAAAATAATGTAAAATTCTACCAATCCGATTGATGATTAGCATTATAACACGAACAAAGAATCAAAGAAAAACCATCAAGTAATACTAAATTGCAACTAATAAGTATGATGATTATAATTAAACCAATAAGTTTGATGAATAACATTATAAGATCGTGAATATTATCTCAATCTTTGAAAATTTCTATCAAATTATGTTAAAAATTACCGGTTAAAAGGTTGTAGTGCGTGCGTACTGCGGCTTTACGTAGTTATTCTACGTTTTAATTAACATCTTACAATCTTTTTTGGGTTTTTTGCTTTTTATAATTTTTTTGGATTTTGGATTTTTAAATTTTTTTGGATTTTGTATTTTAAATTGTTTTTGGATTTTGTATTTTTAATTTTTTTTGGTTTTTGTGTTTTTTGAATTGAATGGAAAGAAATAAACAAAGGGAAAATGATTGAAAAAGAAGCGAATGAAAAGAAGAAATGAAATAAATTTAATTGAAAATAGAATTTGCGGGGGCGAAATCTGCGGCATCAGGTAAATCTGCGGCAAGTAAATCTGCGGCAAGATGTTCCCTAAGCGGGCTGGTGTACTTGGGACGGGCCCTACTACCGTCATAAACAAGTTTAATCAGGTTATAGGCGTCTACAAGACACCTGCCCACAGAATTTGCCAAAAGTAAAGTCCAATTAGAGGGTTTGAGTTTCCCAATGTGTTCACGAATTTGCGGGTCCAAAATTTTTGAAAATTGATAGTGACCATAAGTTGACAAAATGTCTTGTTGAATTGCGGGAGGAAGGTCTGAAGCTGACCGCCATGTTGCAGTGCGGGGAGGTAACGGCAAAGCCTTACCCTTTTTCCCTTTCCTCTCTTTCCCTTTCCCAGCCTTTCTAGGATTCAAAATTGAATCTCTAGAAGTATTCGAAGCGTCTGATTTCTCGTCAGAAGAGGTAGACGAGTTGGACGGGGTAGTTTTGCGGTGCTTTTTGCTTTTGCTTTTGATTTTGCTTTTGATTTTTCAATTGTTTCGCAGTGGAAGCTATTAAAGTTCCACCACTTGTTTGGAACACGCTGGGCCGTTATAGTTTTGAGGGAAGATAGAAATATTTTACGTAAGTGCTAGAGAATGCTAGAGTTATTATAATATTAGGACAGATGTTCAGTATAAAGATGTGAGGTTCAGAGTAGGATATTGTCCAGTGTCCAATTCAGTGTAAGGTGCCTGTTGTAATAATGTCCTGTCAGTTCCTTTTTAGTTAGACTCAGTTTAGTGATGTTTTATTTAGTTTAGTTTAGTGATGTTTTATTTAGTTTAGTGATGTTATCCGAGTTGTGGTAGTTAGTGTAATTTTCGATAATACATTTTAACTGTTTCAGTAGAAAAATATTTGGTTTTCCTACTTTTAGTTTTATTAATTAAATTAATTTTTGATTAAATGAATACCGTTTTAGTGGAGATATTCGTTTGCCTCCAATTTTAGTATGTAAATAGCCCGTTTTAGTAAAAAACTACGTTTGTACCTAATTTTAGTTCATAATTAATACCGTTTATATGGAAATATTCGTTTTTTCCAATTTTTTGTTTAAAATTGTTCCCGTTTTAGTGGAAATATTCTATTCCCCCAACATTTATTTGGTTTTAGTAGAAAGATGCGTATTCCCCTAATTATAGTTTATAATTAATACCGTTTTAGTAGAAATATTCATTACCCCCTAATTTTAGTTTATAAATAATACCGTTTTAGTGGAAATATTCGTTTTCTTCCCATTTATAGATAAAATTAATACCGTTTTAGTGGAGATATTCGTTTGCCCCCAATTTTAGTTGTAGATAGCCCGTTTTAGTAAAAATGTACGTTTGTCCCTAATTTCAGTTCACAATTAATACCGTTTATATCGAAATATTCGTTTTTTCCAATTTTTTGTTTATTATTATTACCGTTTTAGTGGAAATATTCTATTCCCCCTTCTTTTGGGTTTTTGATTTGGTTTTAGTAGAAAGATGCGTATTCCCCTAATTATAGTTTATAATTACCGTTTTAGTAGAAATATCTGTCCCTCCCCCCGTCTAGAACTTACATATACCTTGTTTCTATGATTTAGTGTTATCGTTTTATACATAAATAATTTAAATTTTTATTATTTTTATTAGTACCGACATTATGGTAGCTGATTACGTCATAATAACTTAGGGAGCTGTGAGAGCTTCAGTCCAACCTTCGACTGATTTAGGGTGAACACGTAAGGGAGTATCTCCCAGATCTAAGGGTTTGGGTTATGGCTGCGATAGTATTTTATAATATATACAACTCTAGGTTTGCTTGGAATAATAGAGATGTTATTGAAAATAAAATATAGACTAATAATGGTAATGTAATAACAAATAATATCATAACACAGTTAGTATAATAACCTATTATATATAATAAACAACCATTCCTAGACAATAAAGTGACGATTTATAAGTAAATATATTGAGAACAAGTTCGCGCGAATTTACTTAAAAAACAGATAATAAAAGCATATCAGTGTTGAATAAATTCGTAAATTCGTAAATTATGTAGTTGGGTATTTTACATTGGGTAAACAGAGGGTGCGATTCGTTCTATATGATTCTCTGAGCTGCCACCGAGCACGGCTAAATTCTGAACTGCGTATTAGTTATTTAATTTGTACTCATTCGACTGCATCTTCTGATGCGGTTCAGCTACTTCAGTCCCTGTGTAAGATGCTAGTAAGGAGGACCAATCACCAATAGGTAAACGAATCGTATTTTTATTGGATAAACCGAGGGTACGATTCGTTCTAATTGGTTCTCTGAGCTGCCATCGAGCTCCGCTGAATTTTTAACTGCACATTAGCAGTCGATTGAGTCATTACTCATTCTACTGTGTCCTTTCATGCTGTTCTGCCAGTTTATTCCTTGTGTAGGGCTTCAGCAATTGGAACTTCTTGCCAGTAGGTAAATGAACCGTATTTGCTTCGGGTTACCCGACTGTACGGTTCGTTCTAATTGGTTCTTCTGGCTGCTGACCAACATGGCGGAATCTTAAACTGCATTATAGTGATCAATCCAGGTATTACTCATTCGACTGCATCTTTTGATGCGGTTCAGCTACTCTAGTCCCTGTGTAAGGTGCTAGCAATGAGGACCGATCACCGATTGGTAAATCGGTCAGCTGTCTTCTCTAATGCTGCTCTGTGAGTTTAACCTTTGGGTAAGACCATAATAGTAAGAGCTACTGTGTGTATGTATGAAAGTATGTATGTGTGTGTATGTATCTGGGTGGGTTCATACATTTATGTGTGTCTATCGATGTATATATGTATGGCTGTATCTATGTGTGTATATGTTTGTGTGCATATGTACATGTGTGTCTTTCTCCGTAGAACCCTCAAACAGCTGGCACGACACCGACCAATAAAGAGGACATTACCCCTACACCATGCCCCAATATTAAAATAAACGACAGGATACCGAGCAACGAGGGAAGTAAAGAGGGATTTGTCTCCACACTCTGCCCCGAAAGAAAAACTAGGGGGACAAGAAAAAGGCGCGGAAGTAACTTTCGCAGGGCTGCAAAGCAGCAACGAGAAAATAGGCTGTCGATTGCCACCTTCTTGAAAGACGAAGGGTCAGCATCGGGAATTGGTGTTCTGTAAAACTAGGTTTTGAAATATAATAGTGCTCCAAGAATCTGTTTTTTAATGAATATTTTTTACTTAATATTTTTTTCTTTAAATTTGTCTCTTCCAAACTCAGAACAACAATCATAAAACACCTGACAATTTTGTCAACCAATCGGCTTGCATTTAAGAATCACATAAAAATCTTCTTAAATTTTACTCAAAACGCATATTTTCTATTGTTTCCACTTTTCACCATTTTACCGCAACTTACGTCATACATAAGATGCACTTTAGTTTTTTAATTTGCACATGTTATGAATTCTCTTTTCTCGTTTAACAAAGCTATGGTAAGGTTAACTTTATCTTCTTTTAATTTACTATTACTTATTTTAATGAATAACAGCTCATAATTTTCGTATTTTATATTTTTTGTTTTGAAATTATTACTTAGCCATGTACTTAGCCTTATACAAAGACTCAATTATACATGTTTAGCTTTGACTTAGTATTATCTACCTATTTACATAACATAAATTCTTGTAAGTACAATGACTTCATATTATTATGTTCGAGTACTGAGTAGGTTATTAGGTTTTATATATATATATTTTTTTTCCCCTTAAGGGTACATGTGTCGCGTTGTATTTGAATGGGTCATCTCAGATTTTAGCTTTCGTCTAATTAATTCCCAACACTTTTGAAGTCTGTGGTTGAACGTTGAAAATAGTCTACCACGATTTGTACTTAAAAAAAAATTAGTTACTAACAATGAAATAGCAACCATTTTCGTGACGGCTTTTGATGTCTGTGGTTGAACGTCTGCATTCGAATTGAGGCTGGACGACACCGTTGAGGAGGTCGAAGCTCAGGCACCTGTTGCAATGGAGGTCGTGGAGGCTGCGATGCCGATGGAGGTCGAGCCTCGACAAGCACCAGAGGCTCAAGTGCAAGAACCAGTGGTTGGGCCAGCTCGCTTTTATAATGTTGTTGAAGTCCGGAACTACACCAGATATGAAATGGAAGGCTCCTCAACTATCTGGTTCGACGATTTCCAAAAAGCGTATGTGCTGTCGAAGGATGGCACAGACGCTCGACCAACGACTTATCTAAAGTGCCATCGCTACACGGTGAAAAGAGGTAATTTTAAATTGTTTAATAGGATACTTTTTTTAACTCGTGAAAATATTCACGATCTTAGAATTATTATCATTACCATTATCATGATTGTATCTTAACATTTAACGGGATCCCCATTTAACCCTGTTAGGTTCATGTGGTGAAGCTGCAAGGATTAAGGGCGATGCCCTGTACCTGGGGAAGGATCACTCATGTGGCGACATGAGTGATGAGTACCTTATTTTGCAGGCCAAGGCACGGATGAAATTTCAAGCTGGTAACATTTGTTTTTGAATTTTTTATTAAGCCATATTTCGACTGAAAACATATGTCTGCCAATATGTCAGGCGACTTAGCCAGTCGCCTGAGGCCGTGAAGAAAAACCTCAAGTTCGAGGCTGCCAAGTCCATCATGAGGAATAAGCGGAGGAAGAACCTGCCTCCGATTCCCAAGAATCTGGCGGAAATGAAGGAAGCTCTCGACAATGGACATCCGTTCGAAGACATCTACCAAGGTTTCGTCGAATTCGAAGATGGGAAGGTCGGATTCATTTTTGCAGACCCAAAACTTCTCGCTCTCGTTGAAAGTGAGTACACTGCTTTAATTTGCGAGTTGTTTTGATACTATGTTCTATCAAATTTATCATTTTGGGTAATTTTAAATTGTTTTAAAGGGGTTAAATACAACAACTTTTTTATCTTTGTACAATTACTTTTAAGCAAATTTATAATTTTGGGTATTTGTTTCAGAGACTCAAGAACTCTTCGTTGATGCCACCTTTAAAACACGGCCTCACCACGATATCTTTTCTCAACTGTTGAACATCATTGTCATCTACAAAGATTACTCTGTCGCTGTGATGCATGTCTTAATGACATGCAAGGAGCAAGCACTCTACGGCCAGATCATGAAGCGGTTCAAAGCTTTGGTTGGATCGGACTTCAAGCCAAAAAGTGTGATGTCGGACTACGAACGGGCGACCCTGAACACCATGCAAACTGCCTTTCCGGAATCGAGAGTGTCTGGATGCAGATTTCACTTCAGCCAAGCAGGTAAATAATATTTTAACCATTTAATTGATTTTTAACACGTTATTTATCTTTGTTATTTACTTCTTTTTAGTTCTCCGGAAAGTGTGTGCTCGCAACAAGGAGGATTTCTATAAAAATGTTGAATTTAGGAATCTGATGCTCAAACACATGGCCCTAAGCAGGCCTTGCGATAAAGCGTCGGGCGATGTGAATTTTACGTCGTCCAAGGGCGATTTTGCGTGTAGCTAGGGCTATTTGCGTCGAGCAAAAAATTTTTTGTTTGAGTATATTTAAAGATATTTTTGAGCGGAATTTTAATGAAGTAATTGACGATTATTTTAACATTTAATAAAGTATTTTAAAAACCGCATGCAGTTGAAATAAAAGTTTGAATTTAAAAAAATTAAATATGCTCATTATTTTCAAGTAGAAAAAACTCAAAAATTAAAAAAAAAAGTTTAAATCTTTTAAGCTAACATTTTAATAAAATTATTCAGCAATAGCAACGTTGTCGATAAAATTGAACAAAAATACTTTCTTTTAGTTTTAGATTTTAAACTTAAATAATTATTTTACAGGGGTTTGATAGGTTTTAAAATTATTCCATAGATTTAAAAATATTTATTAACTGTTAGACGTATTTAAAGTATTTAAGAGTGATTTCGAGGAAACATTTTAAAAATTGCTGAGGGCAAATAAAAAAAAAAAAAAGATTAATATTAAAACGTATTCTACTTGATTCAATGAAAAAGTACAGTTATTAAAATTTTTGTAAAAAGTAACTCAAAAAAATTACTTATACTAAATAATAACGATCGCTTTTATGTTAAAAGTTACCGAAACTCAACGAAGCGTGCTCAAGAACAGCTGCTGAAAAATAGAACGTCAATAGTTTTTCGAATAATTTTTAAGAATAATTTTTTCGCTAAAATATTTCTTTTATACCTATAAGATTTTTATTCTAACATTTTATTTTATTTTACTAGAAATAAAATTCCTTGTTAACATTAAAAATCTATTCAAAACGTTCGTTTAAGTTTTTTATTAATACGAGTGATTGTGCTTATCAACCGCTTTATGAAAATAAATAAAAATAAATAAATAAATATTATATAAAATCGCTTGTAAAAATATTAGCTATTGCACAGTTTTTAATCGTACAATATTAAAATTTCCAGTTTATTACTCGCTGACTTTTTAAAAAGAAAAAATAATTATTTGAAAAACTTTAAATTACATATTTAAGAAAAAAAAAAATCAAATATTAGCATATTTTATAATCTTTTTTAAATTTAAGTTATAATGTTTTTTATTCGTTTAGTATAGACAAAACGTGACAAACTCAAGAAAATAAACAAATGTTTTTACATTTTAAAAAACGAAACATTCCAAAACATTTTTAAATAATAACATTTCTACATAAACGATTTAAAGTAGTTTTGCGGTAATTAAATAAATTGGTGCAGTTAATGTCGATAAATATGAAAAGCAAATAAAAAGAATTTAATGACGTCAAAAATCACGTCGTGCTTATGCGTCGCGCAGCTCTTATTCATCGCAAGGCCTGCCTAAGCACTCTACCGGCGAACCAAATGGTACCGGTATTCCAACAGCTGAAGCAAGAAGTGCTCCACTTACAACCACTCAGGCTCCGGAAGCAAGTCCAGATAATGCAGAGGATTTACTTCTTAAAGTGGTGGTTCCAAGGCATCGGGCCCCAGCTGATCTCTACGTACGGTCTTGCACATAAGACCAACAACGTCTGCGAAAGTCTCCATAAGAAGTGAGTTATTTCTTAACAATATTTTTGATTTAACAATGTGAAAATATTCACGATCTGGTTATTTTTGTTGTTCATTATTTATAACTTTTCCCAAATTTTTCAGAATGTCTTTGAAGCTGGCAAAGGCGTCGACAATCTGGAGATTCCTCTCAGATCTGAGGATGTTCGTCATCGAGCCAGCAAATATCGATATCCTACAGTTGGACAACAACATCAGGATCCGGAGGAACATCAAATTATCGAACCAGGTAGTGGCCAGAACTGTGAAGAATCAGGAGGAGCGACTGGCCAATGGGGAAATCACCCCCATTCAACACCTCCATTTTATGGCCCACAGAGTGCCCACTCCGGTTCCTCCGAATGACCCAGATCAGGATGAGGCCGATGCAGAGCTGGCAGCAGAAATGGCCGCCGATGGCTACGCCGATGATGAGGATGGCGACGACGAAGTCTTTGACGAGTAAGTATACCAAGTATAATTTCAATCATTTTCTAGTAATTTCTATTTATAATACGATGTTGATTAATTTCATATGAAACTTATCTTTAAAATGTGTTCATTAATAACTCATCTTTAAAATGTGTTCAATACTTTCAGACACGGAGATGATGACGCATTCCTGGCAGCCGCAGGGCCACAGGCAGATGGACAACAGCAACCGGGTCACGCCGCCGCAGGTCCCGCCGCCGCAGGTCCAGCAGCAGAACCGTGTTGCATTTGCATGGCGAGCCCCAAGGACACAATACTGCTGCCGTGCGGGCATGTCTGCGTGTGTTCAACATGTGCAGCCCTTCTCGAAGCCCAAGGACTTGACGATGAACCCGAGAGCGTCTATTTGTGCCCCGTATGTAGGACACGGGTTACTTCGCGACATCGGCTGTTCTACGCCTGAAAAAATTGACTGGAAATGGCTTTCTATTTCCTATTATTTTTACATCTACTTTCATTTTTCATGTATTTTTCTTATAAATTGACTAAATAAACAGATTGTACCTTTGATAACACTTTTATGATTTCCCGAGTTTTGTACATTTTGTACCGCGGGTGAAGAAGAAACTTTTGTAGGCTAACCCCTTGGGGGTCTCTGTTAAATACTTCATTTTTTGGAACCTCTTTGGGGTTCCTGTCTAGTGGTTATAGTACTCGCTTCTCACCCGGACGACCGGGGTTCGAGTCCTGACAGGGATTCGAAATTTAGGTTTTTTTTTTTTGTTTAAAAAAACATTCATAAAGAGAGAGAGAGAAATGCCTTAAGGGACTAAGGGAATTAATGGGTTAGGATAAACTGGTCAGCTGATTTGTACAAACTCCCCCCAGCGAAAAATAGGCCGTTTCACAAGCGGTTGATCTGTTTTTGTTATTTTTCAAAACACTGTGCTCAATCTGGGGGGAGTTATTCGTAACTATTTACTTTGGACAACTGATAAGATGCTAACGCTAAATGTACGCCAGTTTATCCGCGTTATTCAGATGAACAGTTAACTATTTGTAGTTGAAGCTAAATTTTTTCACCATGAACATCTTTGGTCTTTGGCCTTTGGCATTTGGTCTTTGACCAGTCATAAATACTACAGAAACAACAAGCATTGCACCGGACCCACTATTTGAAGACCTCCTGGTTCAGGACAGGCTTGAAGTTGAAAAAGGACTGAACAACTTCACTACAGCTAACAGGCTTGAGATGGGACCCTTTGAGATCTGGCTTCAAGTCGACAGAGTACTAAAGAAGATTGAAAGGAAATTATACTTCAAAAGACGTATAGTTGCCAGAAAAATCAGACAAAACCGAAGAAACAAATCAGAACTTCACAAATGGCTTCTATTAGAAAGAGGATTGAAGGACACCGCCAATAAGATAGTCGACAAAAGACGTATTGTCTCAAGAAAAGTCAGACAAATGCAAGCCGGAAGAAAATAAGTTGTTCGTAAGCATAATAAGTACAATAAATGATTCATAACCATGTTTCTTTTATTTGTCTTTTATCATTGTAATAAAACCATTCATAAATTTTGCGATCTCAAGCTGGCATCGGCAGCAGAGTACCGGCCCCATGATTGAAAGGTCCTTGGTTCGAATCCGATGCTAGGTCGAGATTGTTTTTATTTTTTTTTGAGTAATAAGAAGAATCCATATTTTGAGATTGTGAGAATATTCACGATCTTAAACCTTGTTCTTTTTTTGTAAGATGGCGTTGGAATTACTAAACCATTTTTAATTAAATAAAAACTATTTAATTAACTATGGCCCCACTGTCAACATAACTTTTAGCAAATTATCCATTGTCCATACTATTAGTTACGAAGACCCTGCCTGTACTTTAAAGTAGTAATGTATGAAATGCATTCAAAATAGTAAAATACTCATTGGTTTAGTATTATACATTATAGACGGTTAATGTGATTGTCATAGTTTAAAGTATCTTCCTTAATGGCAAATAGAACCTAATGGTTATTTGCTTATTTTTAATGGTCTCGACATTTGCCGGGACCTGTGCCATCAACCTTTGTCATTTTTATGATCTATCTCCAGAGGGCGCTATCTATGGACTTGTCCATGATCTTCAAGATCAACAGATGGCGCACATCGCAACTAATGAGATAGACCAAGTATTTATGTTTTCTTTGATAATCTACTGAATTTAAACTTGAATTAAATCAAATGAACTGACCATTAGTAATATTACGACAACGAGAAGTAACTTGCATCCAGGTAACAACAAAATGAAAGGCAAAAACAAACTGTAGCCAATCGATGGATGGATGCGTTATTGATGGCCTGGATAAAACTTTCAGACAACTTTGCCTCCGGGCCCTTCCAAAGGTCCCAATGATGAACTGATGCGTTCGCGCAGGTTCAGACATTACCATTTTTTAGGGCTATTGAGGCGACGGCCCATTCATTTTATAAACCGTATTACCGTAATACTATGTATGATAATTCATATTCATAGTAAAACTTCTCCGGATTGTGAGAATATTCACGATCCTAAACCTTTGTAAATAAATAAGAAGTGATTGACGGTTAAAACAAATGTTTTTATTTCAAAAAAAAACCTGACATTTCGACTCAAAATACGTACAGGCTAGTGGTTATAGTCGAAAATTCGATGGTTTGGATGGTTTAATTAATTTCTCGACCGGTTTAATTAAATTCGACTCTTTTGATGACGCTGCCAAATTTTTATAGCCGTCGACTGGTTTATGTGGCAGCCACAGAGAATAGCCGAATTTTAATTTCGACTGGTTAACGGACTTGGACAATGTATTTTTGTCTTTGTACTAAAAATAGTGGCATACCCGTATAATAGCCGAAAACATTTTCGACTGTTTGTATTCTTTGCCAATATGTATTTCGATGATTTAACAAGTCCACCAATTCTTCAGAAAAAATTCGACTCAAATCAGGTATTTGTTATTCGTTTATTTAACAGATAGTGGCAGAATTCGACTAAAACACAGAAATTGACAAAATTTAGGGTATCGACTATTTTTTGGACTGTACAAAATTCGTGTATTAAACAGATTATGACAAAATTTAGAAGAATTCTACTATTATTAGTGGCAACCAGTGAATAATAGTAGACATGTTATTTTTTACAGTTAAAATGACTTTCGACTGGAATCGGAAAGTGTTTCTTCTATTTTCGGGTTTTGGGATCGACTAATCGTCGGAATTGGTCTTTCGGTTATTCGACGCGCTCCCCAAAAAATAATATACGTTTTTATTGCAATTTTACAATTTTTTAATGCTCCTTATTTTTAAAATGAAAATGTAGGTTGGTGCTAATGTATATTAAAAATCTTTTCTCTATTTTGTTTGTCAAAATTCTAATGTTACTCCTCATAATGTAACTTTAATATTTACTGCTTAAAACATACCCCATATATGAGTAACATTGACAGTTGAACCCCAAAAACGAATTTAATTATTTATTAATAATATTAGATAAGGGGCCATCCATAAAGGACGTCACCATTTTTTAGCCAATTTTCGACCCCCCTCCCCTTTGTCACCGGTTGTCCTTTTTCCCTATACCCCCCCTTGAAAAGGACGTCATAAAATCCTGCCCCCCCCCCCATATTTTTAACTCCAAAAAAATTTATTTCATCTTGCAATGATGTTTGAATCTGCTGCTACACCTTTGAAAAATAAAATTAAAAATATTCTCATACATTATCTTCTTAAAAACACATGTTTACGTAGTTTTCCATGTTAATTAAACTAAAATAAAAAATCTATAAAGTGACGTCCTTTTCTGACAACCTCCCCCCCCCCCCCCCTTTCATGGCCTTTTTTTGTCCTTTTTAAAATAACTTTTTTTTTTTTGTGCGTAAAAAGTCGCATTAACAAACTTCTAATAAAATTTTATTAGAAATTAAATCGTAAATTATAAACAATTTAAAAAAATATATTTTTTTTACAGTAGAATAGGTTTTGAACTTTTTTAACATAACTTAAATTTTTAAATGTTTTCTGATAATATTAATACGCTAATTTAATATTATTAGTCGAGTTACGTCATTTTCTAGGCTTTTCTATTTTAAAGTGGTTTCTTTACGCGGTTTTTTTTTTAATTTTATTTACTAACAACGCGTATTACGGGTTGCTTACTGCTAGTAATTTATAATACGTTAAATTACTAAAATTTACCTTTACACAAATAAAATGTTAGTCAACATTTTGTTAATAATTTTAGTATAATCATAGATTTAAAAAGAAATTTAACCGCTTAGAGTCTGTTGTTAAGACTCTAAGCGGTTAAACTGCCCTAAAATAAGAGTAACCAACTATTAAAAAAACTAGAGGATAGTTAGAGGCTTTAAATGTTTTTCTAAGTTTTTAGTATAATTTTAAAAAATTTGATCGCCCTTTTCTAATAGTATACTATTTTACTAGTACAATACATAAACAATATATATATATATATATATATATATATATATATATATATATATATATATATATATATATATATATATATATATATATATATATATATATATATATATATATATATATATATATATATATATATATATATATATATATATATATATATATATATATAAACAATTTTATACTAAATTTGCCATGGCTATAGTCTTGTAGTACAAGATTCCTAGTAAACCGCTGTTTTACCAAAATCTTATTCAAAACTAAGTTCCTATTTTATTCAAAATCGTGGAGCAATTTTGCTGGAAAACATTTTTGGGATTTTGTATAATTTCTAAATCTATAGGAATTCTTATAATATGTATTCAATAGGATTATCCTATACAAAATCCTGTTCCGATTTCGGATAGGAATGTTCTCAATAATTTTTATTGAATGTCTTATAAGACTTTTTCTAGAAGGGTGTCTTGCAACCTCTACAAATTTTAGTTAGATGAAAAATTATGTGTACCCACGGTCATTTGAATTCAGGGTCAAGATAAAACTTTTGTCAGCTAAATTAATGAATTGTTTCTCTCTAAAGACATTTTTTGTCTCTGTTGTTGCAACAGAAACAAATCAATCTCCTACTTTCTAAATGAAGTCTTGTTTTTTGCAGGCTTATTTTGAAACAAAACATTTTTGTTTATCTGTTATAGGTTATTTAAATTTTATAAACAATATTGTACCAAATTATATAATTTAAGCAATTTTTTTTTTTTTTTTTTTTTTGTGTTCTTTATTAAAATATTTATGAAATAGGTACAAATAATATAAAAAAAAGAAAAGTAAAGATATCGTTAAAAAAAAAAAAAAGAAAAGTAAAGATATCGTTAAAATATTTATGATACAAGTACAAATAATATAAAAAAAGACAAGTAAAGATATCGTTAAAATATTTATGAAACAGGTACAAATAATATAAAAAAAGAAAAGTAAAGATATCGTTAAAAAAAAAGAAAAGTAAAGATATTGTTAAAAAAAAAAGAAAAGTAAAGATATCGTTAAAAAAAAAAAAGAAAAGTAAAGATATCGTTAAAAAAAAAAAAAAAAAGTAAAGATATCG